GGCAGTCAGTCCGGGGAGAGCGCTGGGCTGCTGCGGGGCCGCTGCCCTCAGGCTTCACCTGCATCCCCTGGCAGCTGCCATCCTGCCCTCACGTGCTCCGGAGAGCCAATCTTGCCTGGAATAAATGGGGGGTGTGGGGGGAGGAGACACGAAGCAGGAAATGACAGCAAATGACAGCGTTACTGTTCCTTGTGGATGAGGAGGAAAGGGCAAACAAGGAGAAGCAATGCTTAATTTAGGTATGTGGCCGAGGAACTGTGGGATAGGAGCCCATCAGGCCCAAGGGCTCTGTGGTGGTCAGGCACACTGTCCTCTAGGAGAGCAAGATGGCCCCTATTTCAGTCTTCCCCTTTGTGCCTTCTGTATTAATCATGTCATGGGCAAAATCTCCTGGAGTTAGGTGTGGCAAGTCAGTTCCCTGTAAGCAGATCCATGGGGCCCAAGGTATGAGCATCCACAGACCAGCAGGAGGTGCAGGTTGGCGACATGTGGACTGGCATGCTCGAAGTGGGAGCAGCTCCAGGGAGCCCTCAGCATGCGGCCGTATGTCTGTGACCTTCTCAAGGGGCGAGACGAGAACTCACCAGGAACTCTGTCTTTTCCTCCCCCTCCCTCAGGTGGTCTTTGCTTTGAATCAGACTCTCTTGCAGCAGGAGAGCCTCCGAGCAGGCAGTTTCCAGATCCCCTATACGACAGAAGACCTTATCAAGCATTACAACTGTGGGGACCTCAGCTCCATCATCTTCAACCATGACACTTCTCAAGTGAGTCTTGCCACTGCAGCCCTTGTACTACGCACATGTCCCCGTAGCGCTAACCCCTGTCTCGCTCGCGCTCATCTCCTTGGGCAGGCGATGTGCAGGCGAGGGCCATTTTTGGTGCATCCACTGTCCTGCGCCTCCGGGAGTCTCTACCACCTCACCCCTGTCTTGCTGCCCGCCAGCAGTGAAGGTGCACCTGGCTTTCCCTTTTGGACAAGTGCCGTGTGTGCTTTAACGTCAAAGCTCTATGAGTTAATCCTCTGTTTTCTTAAGGATTCTGTGGAATGACGCTAGCTTAGGTATGAGTGAGCTTAGCGCCAACAGAGAGCAGCAGCCACTCTTTTGTGCAAATAGCGACAGAGGAACGCACTTGTCACTTGGGCACTTGTGTGAGGCTGGGCAAGTTGCAAGCTTTTTAATGTCCCCTATCAGTATGACCGTGTACTGTGGGCAAGGCCCAAAGGAGAGAAATGGAGTGAAACAAAGAAGAGATAGATTTGGCTGAACCTTAAGGAAAAGGAAACCTTCTGAGGCCTCACAGACTTGGTTTATGGAGTCGGTTTCCTAAGCAGCACGGTGGAATGCAATGCTCTGATCTTTAAACCACAAGAAAATGCCCAGCAGGGACCAATCTGGCCTGTTTGCGCTGTTAGATTAGCTACCCTCAGACTGAGGCGTCAGGCCTCTCTATTCTTGTTTGTGAGATGCTGCCTGGCAATCCGCGCACATCAATGAAAACATACGCTCTGGCCTCACAGTGCTGAACAAGTGGGTGTTGGTACCTGGGCTTTCCCTGCCGAATAACCATTTTTCTGTGGCCTTTTGATATGTACAGTGGCAGTGCTGCAGAGCTGGAAGTACCATCGTACTAACCCTTGCTTCTCCAGCACTGAGCTTTGCGTGCGTGTTTTTTACCTTCCTGTCCAACACACCGTTCAGCCTGCAGGTGCAGGCAACCTGGTCGTTAACACTGCTTAGCTCTTACACAATGCACTTCATTCATCGATTTCAAAGGGCTTCTCAAAGGAGGCCAGCACTGTAAGAGCATGCAGGTGCTGCATCAGTCTTCTACTGAGTTGTTGCAGACTGCAGACAGCTGGTGTTGCTTTGAGGTTCCTGGAAAGAACAGCTCTTGCTGAGACGTATGTATCTCCAAGGGAGGAACTGCCCTTTACTTTACATGAGAGGCTCCACTGCAGGGCACTCTCCCTCATAGCAGAGCTGAGTAGTAGTAGTCTGCAACACTATCATCTTCTGTTTTTAAGCGGAACTTCTTTGTAAATTGCATTTGACCCAATGCTTGCCCAGTAAATGACCCACTGAGGGCTAAGAATCCTTTAGGAACCGTCAGTAATAGTCTGTGAGTGGCTCTAGAGCCTCTTCAGCTGCTGCAGCCTTGCAAGGGAAAGGACCTGGCGTAGTGACACTGCTCCCCAGAACCCACTGTTTGCAGGCCCTTTCCTTAGCGCAGTCCCTGTAGCTGCAATGCCCAAAGCTACTTGTCAAGAAGCCAGCATGGCTGCAACTCCAGACCCACATTTCTCTTCAGTAGCAAGAGGTCAGGGTAGTGTGCAGTCACAGCTGTCCTGGGAGCCCCAGGGGAGGAAGCCAGTATTTTAAAAGATACCTTGAGGACAGGGGAACTGGAGGTGGTAATTCTTTCCTGACAAAATCTGTCCCTCTTTCTTTTGGAAAGTTTGAGGATGTTTTTGTTAACAAGTTCAAATTGCACAGTTATTCTTTGACAGCCTGAGGGCTCTGATACCAGTCGAACTCTCTTAGAAGAGTGTAATTATCATTATAGTTATGTCATACCTATGGCAATTTAAGGAAGAGGTATGTAGCTAAAGATAGCCGGGGGCAAATACTTACTTTCTTCAGCCAACCAGTCAGGATTTGGGATCTACAGTGTAACAAACTGAGAATATTTGTTGACTTTGCATTAAAAAAAATTCAGCTGGCTGGCTTATGAAATATGTTGAGAAAAATGAAGCACTATGCATTATCAGAAGTTTGCTGTGTCATTTTTTAGCTTTCTTTGGGTTTTTATCCTGCTGGATGTGCCTTGAGGGACAAAGCGATTGCCACATTCAGTGACGGAGAAAAATGCCTATGCATGATGGCTGCCTGTGAAATAAATGTTCCTTTCATGAAGACTTTATTTTTTTTCTACCTTAGGTTCCAAATTTCATTAATGCTACACTGCCAGCCCATGAACGCATTACTGCCCAAGAGATAGACAGCTACTTCCGTCAGGAGCTCATCTACAAGCGAAATGAGCGAATGGGCAGGAGGGTGAAGGACCTACTGGAAAAGTACCCAGACAAGAGCTTCTTCTTTGCATTTGGAGCTGGTATGTGATTGAGGTGCCCTGCAACCTGAACACATTCTTTCCACAACTTTTTTATAGATACTTGTCTCAGTTTAAAGAAGGGTCAGTACTTTTACTATGGTGGACACAGAACACAGATTTGCCTTGTGATGGTACTACCCTAGTAGGAGAACTTTTTCAGTGTAGGAGATTGTAACTAATAAATACTGCAATCAAGGCATATACTGTGAGCCCTTTCAATACTGAAGAAAGGCTTGTTATATGTATAGCCAAAGATATTGAAACAGCTACAGTGCATACACAAAAGGAACAGCTCTTAGACATACATGTTTATGGTCTGGCTGACCAAGGCAGAAGGGTAGGAGAAATAGCGAGCTGAGATGAAAGTTTGCAAGTCAGAGGTTGTGCCAGTGCTTGAATAAACCTTTCAAGAATGTATCCAAAAGAATAATATGCGGAATTGTGTGAATCTAAGGGACTCAATAAATGCAAGGAGAGAGGTAAGGCATGCTTTCACCTTTCTCTTCCTGCTGCAGCTCCTTATCTCTTTCTCTGCACTTCCACAACTACAAGGAAATTGTGTCTGCCACTATTTTGGATCAGAGCATTGGGCACAGTTGGGGAAAACCTCCATTTTCTGCCTCTTAGCAGCCAGAAGGAATCTGTAGGCACATCCAGCAGCACATCCAACTTAGCGCAGTTAACACCCACACTTTAGACTAAGGCAGGGTGGAGGGTGTAAACAGAATTGATTTGCCGTGACTCCCGTCTTTTGTTCTAGCTCCAGGGAAGGGAAGAAGTGAGGATCAGATCAGTGTTTTAAAAGACAGGTGCTAATTCCCAGAAAAGTATCACATCCCCTCCACCATGAACCATATGGGCCTTGGGAAGGGGGGAGAACTGAAACTGGTGTCAAGATCCCTGTGATGTTTTCTGGTCTCAGTGGCTGCTGCTTTAGTGAGAATGAAAGATCTAGACAAGTCAAGGAAAATATTTACTTAAACACTCTAAAAGCATTGGTATTCAATGTCTGTGAGAATCTCTCCTCACTTGCAGCAGGGAGTTGTGTTTACAAGCTGAAGATATCGAGTCCTGTGTATGAGGGCACGGAGGTAAGGAAAGGTGGCTGATGTCAGTTCAGGCGTGCACGGAGATTGTAATGTGCTATCTTCCTGCAGTATCACTGCTGTGTGCAGCTCCCTGTCATGAAAGACAGTGAAGCAAGAGAAGGATGTGTAGATTTTCATCATGCCTGTCTGTAAGCTAAGACCAGGGCTTTACTGTGCTCCCCTGCTGATGTTCTGACTGCACTTGTCCCTGCTGGACTGATGTTCCTGAGCAGTGCGTATGTCAGCCCTGAGTGCCAGTTGCATCAGTTGCAGGTAGCTAGTGTGCTGTCAGGAGGCTAGTCACAGATGTTGGGGCTCCAGTAACTGGGTCACAATGGAGTGATGAGCAGCCCAATGCAAATGGACAGATGTGGATGCAAGTGTCACTCTGAGTCTGTCCTGTCCCAGAAGCAGGATCCTTTAAGAGAAGAGAGCCTCTTCCCCTCTTTGCAGCCAAACCTTGCATCTCAGCAGCTGCACTGGACGAATCATATGTCTTCGAGATGCTTTTATGTAAATTGTCTCTCCTCCCATCAATTTCCTTCTCTTCCCACTCTTTTGCACCAGACTGTCTTTGATGTCATTATTGTGCATAGCTCTGTCCCAAAGCCCAGAAGCACTGCAGGGGCAGGACAGATCCCTGTCCTTCCCAATCTCTCTTGTTCTCAACTTTCTTGACAGTTCTAAAACCCTTCCCAGGCTTTCTGGATTCTTGCTTTCCTCCTTCCTCTTATTTTCCTTTTCCCAGTTGCCCCCTTGTTTGTCCCGATTGCCTCTTCCAGTAGAGCAGAGTTAAGGTTCACCCAACACTGCTATGCTGCTGCACTGCCTGGAGCGTTGTGTGAACACACTTGATCTGTGGCTTATGTGCCCATGGCTTGATCTTCAAGCACCAGGCATGCTCTTCTCATACTTTTCCATTACACTTTTGATTCCAGACAGGTTCCCTGTCTCCTCTAGGGACTCTAGATCGATTCAAAATAGTCTCTAATTACACTTTGGCTTTGATACCAGCCCGGCCTCTGTTGTCATTTGCTCTTCCAAATAGCTCTGCTCAAAGGACAGTGTCGGCCTCCCACTTTTAGCAGCACAGTTCCTCATTATCCCCTTGTTTGACTGCATGGGGGTTTCTTTTTTAAAAAAAATAAAATTGTTTCATATTAATTGTCTAAATGAGAAGTAACATCACAGGATATAATGCAGAAAACAGATCAGTTTCTACACAGTTCTAAAGTTTTATGAGTGCACATTACAAATATAAGTGCAGGCTTTTATTGTTTTCCAGCAAGCTAATTTAGCCTTTTGCTGATCCAGATTGCTGTATGTGACAGATAATTATGTGAAAGATAATTATGTGAAAGATTTATTTTTATGCCAGCAAGCAGTGAAGATGAACAAATGTCTTGTGTTCAGTTTTGAGCATTGCTCCAGTATTGTACTGTTGTTAATTACTGGAAAATGGTTCCAGGAAAGTGCTCACACAAGGCAGGTTAGAATGAGCTGTAGAAGAAGAGGAGAAAAAGAAAGGCTACAGGAATGGTACTAAATGATCACTGCATTGTCGTTTTCCGTCTTCTGGCCACCAGTGGAAAAAGTATGTCTCGGCAGTGGCTGATAAACTGCAGGATAAGGTTGTGTAAAGACCTCCAGGTTAGAAGGGGGAAAAGACTTTTAGTTGTTTCTTTCCAGATTTTTTCACCCTGTGTTTTTATTTTTAAAAGGGCTAGGCTTTTTGTAAGGAAAGTTCAATTTTTTCCATTAATGAAACACCATTGAAAAAACACTTTTTTTCATCAATTATATCAAAACAAGGTCATGGTTTGTGGGTGACTGTGGTGTTACAAATACCCGCTCTTGTTATTTAAACTACTCTTTGTGTTTTGATTTTAAATGGAGGAAAATCAGAAAAAATCCATGATTTATTTTATATTCCAAGTGGATTGATGCAGTTTAGAGATGTGTAATACATTGTGCAAAAAAAGCTCCTATCTCTGTCTAGCTATTAATACAGCTGCGTATCTATAGATGTTTATTTCTTACATGGAATTACATGTGGTAATTTGGACTGTAATAGATTTGATCATTAGATACAGCATATTTTATGCTTTTACTACATTTTAACAGATCAGACAAACTCCCCTTCTATGCTCTTGAAAATGTTTCACAGTCAGAGCTCATTTCTGGAACTATTTTTATTTGGAAGTAATTGAAGCTTGCACAAAAGCGGAGAGCTAAAAAGTAACAGCTTTTGCTGAAGCTATCCAAAAAGCTTTGCTTCTGGCCAAAGTGCAAACATGGAAAGCTTCAAGCCAAAATAAGTCTGTTTGAGGGAATTAGAGGAAATAATGGGAAGAGAGAGATGGTAATGCCAGTGGCATTCCACTAGGTTCCGTAAGGATTTTATCTTAATTATGGGCAGGCTTGTTTGTATGGTGGCACTAGAGTTACAAGCCAGATCTACTTGTTGCCAGTGGAAGAACTTGTGAAGCAAAGCCAGCTATAATCTTTCACAAGCAGTCTTCTTTCTATATGCTTTTTTAATTTCTTTGAAGTGCAAGTGGAGCCTTCAGGATCTGAACGCTGAGCCAAAGTAAACGATGGCGCATGTGATTCCATAGACAGCCAGCTAGATAACACTGTATGTTTCTGGTTTGTCAGAGTTGCACATCGATGTAGAGGGGGCTGCATTGTCCTACTGTGCTGTGGAGAGTTTTACCACTTGTACAGGTCTGCCTGCTGGCTAAACTTCACAGAATCGCAGGATAGTTGAGGCTGAGAGATGCCTCTGGAGATCATCTGGTCCACCCCCTTGCTCAGAACAGGATCACACAGAGCAGTTTTCCTAAGACTGAGTCTGATCAGATTCTGAGTATCTGTAAAGATGAAGACTCCAGAGCCATTCTAGGCCACTTATTCTAGTGTTTAACCACTCTCATGGTAGAGAAGCTTTTTCTTATGTTTAAGTGGGATTTCCTGTATATCAATTTGTGTTCATTGCCTTTTGTCCTTTCATGGGGCACTACGGAGACAAATTCTGCTTCATCTATTTTACAACCTCCTATCAGGTATGTATATATTGACTATACCTCCCCCAAACCTTCTTTTCTTTGGGCTGAACAGTCTCAGCTCTCTCAGCCTCTCCTTGTATGACAGATGCTGTAATTGTTCATCATCTTTGTGGCCCTTTGCTGGACTTTCTCCGGTATGTCCACATCTCTTTTGAACTGGGGAGCTCAGAGCTAGACACTGGGCCCAGATGTATGTCATCAGGGCTAAGGAGTGGGGAAGAATCACCTCCCTCAGTCTGCTGGCAATGCACCTCCTAATGCAGCCCAGGAGGCCATTAGCCTTGTTTGCCACAAGGGCGTGTTGCAGACTCAAGGTCAACTTGATAACCGCAAGGACACCACATCCTTTTCTGTTGTTGGGCCAGCACCCAGCACTGGTAGGCCAGTTGGTGCCCAGCCTATCCTGGTGCCTGCAGCTATTCCTGCCCAGGTGCAGGACTTGGTTTGCTGAACATTGTGAGCCAAGGTTTTCTCATCGTAAATCCATGCTGACCACTCCCCATCATCTGCTTATCCCTAACACGTTTGGAAATGGTTTGCAGGATAATTTGCTCCATCATCTTCCCCAGGAATAGAGGTGTGGCTGACCAGTTTGTAGTTCCTCAGATTCTCCTTGTTGCCATTCTTGAAGATTCGAGTGATACTAGCTTTCTTCCAGTCCCCAGTTGCCACAACCTTTTAAAGACAATTGAGAGTGGCCTCACAGTGACAGTAGCAAGCTCCCGTAGTTCCTTTTGGTGTATCCTAATAGAACTTGTACACATTTGGTCTGTTTGAATGTTCCTCAACCTGATCCTTCTCCACCTAGGGTGAACCTTCTTTGCCTTGGACTTTCCCTCTAGTC